TTTTGAGCCTACTTGTAGAGTTTAGGCAAGAAGATGGCCGAAGATCGCGCCAAAATTGAGTATGCCACCCGACGTGTATCGTGAGAGCTATTTATTTTATTGCTGAAAATTAAAGTCTCCAGCCTCACTTCAATTTAACCTCTCCCATTCGGGCAAAATGTCCCAAAATAACTCATTATAACTCTTCTGTTGTTATCCCTTTTTGAGCTTTATAGTATCTGTTATTCTTGATTTTTCACTCCCATCCCAGTGCCTCACTTTGGCACTAGACTTGAAGCAACTTGCACTCACCTTCACCTCTCGCCTGATCCTCGGCCTTCCGGCGTCCACGGCGCTCACCATGAACACATGTCGTCCCAGATCGGCCCTGCTCATCTGCCTGGCGAGCCTAAGCTCGCCGGAATGCGGGTTCACGACGACCAAGCTGAGATGTGCCGGGGCCGGTGGTGCGTGTCCGGAGTGTCCTGGCCCGACCCCCGGCGCCAGGACCGGCTTGACTTGGTACTCGATTCGGCCATTCTCTCCTTCGTCCGGGTCGACGGCTCGCAAATGCGTTATAAAAAAGGACTCTTGCTCTCGTATGGACAGTCTAATCGAGGCAGCTGTGGCCAGCTCTGCCGAGTCGCCGGCCGAAGTCTGAGTCCCCGCTGAGGTCGCTCTCGGACCCTGGCCGGACTCTGTCTTCACCGAGACGCTGTCACCGGGTGGCTTGGCGATGAGACTCTTGCCGCCAATACCGACTGCAACGTTACCGTTGTCGGACTGGGCTTTTGGGCGGTTCGACTGTCCGAAGATGGAGGAGGCGTCTTCTAAGCCGGTGGACGGAGACGAACTCGAACTGTCTGCAGCATCGGCTGGCAGCAGGTCGCTGGTGGCAGACGACGAGGAGGCGGAAGAGGCAATGGCATCTGCGCGAGGGTTCGAATCATCCGACCGGGTTGAGCCGGAGATCGGCGAACCAATTTGCTCTTGTGGAAGGTAAAAGGATGAAAGAGTTTGATGAGGCAGACAAACACCGACAAAGATACCCATTGCTAGCTTACTTGCCTACGAAGTTAAAGTGTACATGGTAAAGGGATTCGAAGACAGCTCCAACCGAAATATGACGGCAGA